TTTTCCCAAAAGAGTTACCCACTGCAAGGACACATCCTCTTGTCCATCACTTGGCTCTCTCCATGTGCTGCTGCCAGTGCTGTGGTCTCTCCCTCTGGGTGTTCATCCATCCTCCCCCAGATCAACACTCACTGGCTAAAGCCACCAGCAGTCAGATGAGGGAGTGTGTCCTCATGCCTGGGGAGAGGCAGACTGCAGGATTAGGCCCACTGTGTCACAAGATGGTATTTTTATTCCCCCCTAGCTCTTAATTAATAAGAATTTGGGGAGTCAGAGTGGGGGGAAAATCACCTGGCACCACAGTGCTCCTGTTGTTTGCTGTTGTATTCCTGTCATGCTCCCAAGCCACTGTACTGAAGGACATCAAAGAGCAAACTGTGACAGACACATCCATCCTTTGCACCAGAGCCTGTGAGGTCAGCGAGAGTGGCCCAAGGGTGTGAGATGCTCAAACCACCGAGTCGAAGGAAAAGGCTGAAGGGTGTGATTCCAAGCTAGAAAAACCAGACACCTGCGAGGAAGGACGCTCAAATCCACTGATGATCCATTAGCAGGCTCCACAAGGAGATGTGAATCGAGCTTCTGAGCCAAAGAGCACACCTTTTGACTTCTTAGCAGCCAAATCCTTGTGTGCACTGCTTAGAGGTGTCCCAAGGGCACGTACGACCCAATTCTTCTCCCTCCCAGAAGCCCATTGCAGGTCTGCCAGAGGAGAACATCCCAAAATATGTGTCCATGGGGCAGGTTGCTCTGTGCCAGGGCTGTTGAGCATGCAGGGTGCAAGGGAGGGATGCTGCAGCTGTGGGATGCACACGGTGTCCAGCAAGGAGGACAAAATGCTGCCGTGCTTAGACACCACAACATGGCCATGGTTCCACCAGCTCCCATCTGACCAGGGGGCCATGCTGGTTGGATGCAGTGGGACAGGCCCTCCCCCACACTGTGGTTTCTCTCTTTCCAATGGATCAATTGTGCTTGGAGGGCTCTGGGTTGTATGTAGGTCAGGCACATCGCTGGCTCCGGCACTGCCACCAATTGAACAAGGATCCCCCCTTCTCCCTCCATCCAGCCCCCTCAGTGCCCAGCCCTTGGCAGAGGGCAGCCTTGGCTGTCATCCTAGAGAAGAAGAGCATTGCTTTGAGGCTTTGGGCTCATTTGAGCACAGCCAGTGTGTGTGTGCAGCTCCCAGACCAGTACGGACACGGTGCCCGGTACATCCCCCTGAGCAACACGCTCCCTGTGTGTCCGTGCATGAGGAGAGCCTGGTGCTGGGAGGGGAGATGGGCAGCATGACCCAGTTCATGGCCTTCTGTCAATAAAGCTGGCACTGGTCCCGCTCGTCTTTATGGAATGGATGGGGCTGGACCAGCTCACAGAGCAGGGGATTTCTCTGTGGGGCCCCACTGCAGCATCGAGGGAGCTGTGGATCTCCCACACATGATTGCTCTGCTGCTTGTCTCTCCATGGGAGTGGAGTAGATAAGAGGCATCCTAACTTTCAGCCTTGGAAGCTGGTTTGGCCACCCAGCTTAAATTCCTCCTAGAAGCCCTTATCACTCAAGGAGGAAACCCAAATCCTCTGGCACCTTGGGCTCCCCCTAAGCTGGCGAGCTGAAGGGAGGGGGAGGCCTGAAAAGGGAGAGACACCAGAGGAAAAACTTTCTCAAATAAAAAAATATTCAGTAGTTCAGGGCAAACTTTGCACTAGTTGAAGATTTGACCTTGTGTTCTCTACTAAGAACAAACAAGAGAAAAAGGAGGATCATATTATTTTGCCTGAAATTTGGAGTGGATCAAACCCCTGCTGTTCCGAGCCCCTGCAATGAATGGCTATAAACAAGATGCATTTCCGGAGGATGAATTAAACAGTGAGCCTGAGTACTGACTGTGTTTTGAGAGATGTTTATTTGTCCTTGCTGCCTCTCCATAAAGAGTTGCACAAGGACTTACTAAATTTTAACCCCACATTGTTCTTAAGTAAACACTGCCCTTTATCCAACATGAGGAGTGCTTGGAGCTGAGATAAGCTCAGGTTAGCTCATGTTCTCCGGAGCATCCAGCCTCTTGGAAGCATTCCTGAAGCAGCCCTGGGCACCCACTTCATGCAGACCCCAGGGCAGCCTCAAAGTTCTCAATTGCCTGCAGAGCTCTGGCAGTTTTCTGCACCACTTTTCTGCCAGAAAGTTGTTTGCAAGAAGGTGAGGAGCGGCCTTGGCAGAAGCATAAGTTACATCTCAGCTCCTCTCCTCATTTTACGTGATGGAAAAGGGAAGAGTGATAAACCATGAACACTGGCCAAGGAGCTGTGCTGTGACTTCCCACCAAGTCATTGTCCTGGGGTCCTCCTACCACCACATGGAGCAAGTGCATGCCCATGGCAGGGAGGCTGGAATGAGATGATCTTTAAGGTCCCTTCCAACCCAAACCATTCTATGGTTCCATGTACCATGGTCCATCCCTTTCATGTCCTTCCATAGAGATAGCGAAGCACTGAGATCTTCCTGCTCCCAAATCCAAACTCTGTCACTCCCAGCATCACTGGTGAACACACAAAAAAAGGCTAAAGGGGGATGAATATCACCGCAAACTTTCCGTCTTCTTTGATTTCCAGAGTCTACACAGCCTGCACTTTTGGACCATCTGCTGGCATCCAGCGGGATGGGGAGTTAGGTCTGCACAGCCATCGGCATTCAAGCATTTTCTGGGGGAAAAACAGTGGTTTTGATGCTCATGAGGGAAAGGCTGAGTAAAAAAGCACAAAAAGTAAAACACCAGCACCTTGGTGTGAAAGCCAGCCCAGCTCTCCCTGCCTTATGGGGAGCCCCAAGAAATTCCCCCCTCCTTGCTTTCGGGGGTGTTTTGTGGTGTTTCCTCCACTTTGGGGGGACGTAGCCACAGGATGTAAGATGCTGAACGTGATTCTCCAAAAAGGAGAAGGATCTGTGCCTTGTAGAAACATTTCTGAACTCGTGTTTGTTCCCTCTCATGGGTCTGGGCAGAATGTCAAAGCCTGCTCTGAGCTGGAAATATTTTAAGACTAGCACTCACTGGAGACCGAAACAATGGCAATTCTTCAGCTACTGAGGCTTTTATAAAAGGGCTTTTGACACAGAGGCTGCTTAGGGTTGGGTTTTTGGGTTTTATTTTTTAGTTGGTTTTCCTCCCAGAAAACACTGTGCCAGTGTCCGTGTGCGTGCTCGTGCGCACACTTTTGCGTGTGCAAAATAATCCCTCAGCTTCCAGGAGGAATGGCAGTCGGTGGGAATGCCCAGGAGGATGCCTCCAGCCCTGCTCCAGCAAGGAGAAGGCAGGGGCTCACACGGGATGCCACGCAGCGATGCAGGAAGAAAAAGACATTTTAGAGTAAATGTCAGCTTTTGCGTTTCTGGGTTTGGGGCTTTTTTTAAACATGTGGGTGGGACTTTTAATGCCCAGATGAAGCTGAGACGGTTTCAGTCTCCAGGGCTTATCCAGAAGATTCACACAAACACTATGGAAAGTGTCTCTTTGCTTAGGAGGATGAAATTTGACACTGCAGAGATTTTAACCCGGTATTTCAGCAAGGAGCCTCAGTGGTTAGCGTGTCATATCTGATAAAGGCTAATCAGCCCTCCTTCAGGCACCATTCAATTCTTATTTCCATCTGCTTCCCATGCAGATTGCATTATCCACGATATGTACTCACATGCAGGCAAACCAGTGCGAGTTCTGCTCAGCTCTGGTCTTCCCTGGACACAGGATCAACGGTGAAGGATGGACACGATGGATCACACAACCAGAGCCCTTGCAACCAGCCCAGGCAGCCCCTAACCAGGTCTTCAGCACTGTTGGGAAACCAGCGTTATCCAGCACCAGTTTGCACTGGTGTGGGGATGGGATCCCAATGGGGAGCGGGTTTCCTGCACAGCCCTGCTGCCGCCTGCCTGCCCCAAGCTCAGCATTCCCTGGCCCCGGTGCCGTCCCACCCAGGCTCCTCTCCCTGCTCCGTGTCTGAAGCCTCCTCAACAATTATCCCCGGGCGCTGTTTGTTCAGGCGATGTGGATTTAGCTCTCCAGCCTCATGTGCAGTGTGTGTATAGGGAAAGATAGATTGCCACTACTTTCCAGTATAAATCACATTCCTTACAACACTCCAAAGTAGCATTTTCAACCTCAGGGTGCTAATAGGATCCAGCAGGAGAAAGAAATGTCAGCTAAGTAGCAGGCACTGTTTGGAGAGTGCAATGGAGCTGATCCACAGCCCCGGGGCAAAAGGAGCAATCCCAGGGCAAAGGTTAAAGAGTTCAGGAGCACTTCAGCCTACTTAATTGCAACAGGGCTCTTACACGGTGCAAGATGGATGGCTCGAGCCGGGCAAGGGGGGCAGAGCGGGGGCAGCAGCATCACCCGCCGGAGGCACACGGACCGGGATGGAGGGACGGAGGGATGGAGGGACCACAGCCACCCCTCGCTCCTCCCCAAAATGCTGCTGCGTGGCAAAGTGGCCCGTGCCACAGCAGGACCCCCCCCGGTCACCACCTCCACTGGGAGCCCATCCCAATCCTCGCCCAATAAATGGGAATTTATATTGGAGCAGGCTGATGCTGTGGAGGTTTTGCAACAGCTCAGCACAGCACTCGCCCAGGCAGATAAATAACCAGTAGCGAGAATAACTCCAGCTGCCAAGGAAATGTTTCCTGCTCCCCTGAAAATCATAAGGAACGTTTTAAGGGGGGAAAAAAAGGGGGGAATTGGTTAGTGTTGCAGGTCTTGTCATTTTTCTTACAGGATTTGTTTTCTTATTTCCTTTTATTTTGAATCTTCAGAATCTGAACATGTTTTCTATCAATCCCAAAGTGCTTCTGCTGGGAAGGTGCCTCAGATAATATTTTTAGAAGAGTTTTGGCTTGTTTTCTGACACATCTGAGAAATGTCATCAAAAGCTGATGTTTTGCATGGAAAAGCTCTTCTGCATTATTTTTTTTTTAATCTAAAGAAAAAAAATAGAATCAAAACATTTCATCCATTTCTCACAGGGAGGTTTATGCTGTTTCCCTGGTGATAAAAGCACAGGGCTGGCTCTTGAGACACACGCGTTTAATTCCCAGCTCTGCCGCAAACCCCCGCGATGACCTTGGACGAGCCACTTGGGCTCCGATCCGTACGGGATGGGATTTTTCCCTTAAAACTCCCGTTTGGCCTCTTCGACCGGGATACTGCCTGAAAAAAACCAATTCATTTCACTCGGGCCCCTGTTCTCCCACCCCATCGCCCACCCATCCCGCTGGGGATGCTGCCCTGCGTGGGTGCTCCATCCCTGCATCCCGAAGCCCCCGCGGTGGCCGGGATGCGGAGTGAGGGCCGCGGATGCCCTCTCGTGGGAAGAGCCGGGCTCGGCTGCGCTCTCCATCCCGGCGGGAACATGGATATACCCCCATGACCCTGCGCTCCCCATCCCCAGGCTGCTGCGGGTACCCCGATCCCCCCGAACCCGCAGGACCATCCCCGATCCTCCCCGGGATGCAGCGCTGCCGCCGGGCATCACCGAAACCTTCCCAGGGCAAAACATTCGGCACATTTTATTGAGGAAAGGGGAGAGGAGGGCGTCCTGCCCGCCCGCAGGAGCAGCGATGGGGACATCCCTGCTCCCAGCACCCATCCCACCAGGATCCCGCATCCCCTCAAGCCCCGGGGGGCTCAGGAGAGGAGCAGGGCAGCAAGGACGCAGGGCAGCAGGAGGTGGCCGCCCGCGAGGCCGGGGGGAGGCCGGGGGGCTCTGGGGGAGCCGTTGCAGAGGTCGGTGTCGCAGCAGTGGATGCGGACGCCCGGCAGCTCCTGCTGCTGGCAGTGGCGGGAGGTGGCACAGCCGCTGGTCAGCAGGATGCCCAGGACCACTGCAAAGCAAGCAACAGGGCGGGACGTCAGGGCGACGAGCAGGGTGGAGGGGGATGCTCTGCCAGCTTTCCACCGGGGGCAGGCCCTGCTTGGGGGCTGCGAGGGTGGATTTGGGGTGTGAGCATCACCAGCTCCACCCTGCTGCCCCACGGGTGGACTCACCGCTCTCTGTCTTAATGCAGAACCGGTGCTTGAAGCCCTGGTGGGACTGGGAGCAGGTGATCACCTCGGGGTTAGAGCACCCCATGTCCACGTTTTTGGTGCCAACCACGATGTTGCAGCCATAGCACTGGAGTCCAGACACTAAACAAGAACCGTAAGAAACACAGCTGGATTTTTCCGGGGGGGGGGGGGTGGGGTGTGGAAATGCTTCAACTCGTTCTGAGCTGCTCTCTAACGACGGCTTCGCAGCGCTCCCTGCCTTGCCAAGTCGCATTAAGCGCTGAGCCAAGAGCCCGGAGCTGCCCGTCACTTGTTTACCCGGTGGGCTCAAAAATACGGAATCATCTCCCACTAGAGGTCAGTACAAAATCAGAGATTAGCCGGAGATTTGCGCTGGGATCAAACAGTGGGAACAAGGGAGCTTTGAAACAGGGGGTGTTAAGAGCAGGTGAAACCTCACAACGAACACTGTGTAAGGGCTCGGTTGCACTCAGAAACGGCTTTTCCCTTTTTCACCAAATTTCTCCAGTTTAGCTGTGCCCATGCCGGAGGCACTCACTCCAGAGGGATGGTTTCATCAGAATGGTTTGGTTTTCTCCCTGAACACAGTCCTGATTTTATCACAGGTTCTATCAGGGAGGCAAACCAGCTCGAAAACAGAAGAGAAATCCTCGTTCAGAGCACTGTGACCCCGGGACAGTGGCCTCAGTGTGTCCCCAGGGCTTTGCACACTTGCACTGGCGGCAGCTCAGTCCTTCCCTGCAGGGTCAGAAACTGTGCCTGAGATTTGCTAGATTGGGAATTAAGCCATTTCTCAGGTTTCTCAAAAAAGAAAAAAAAGGGAGGAAAAAAAAAGGAAAAAAAAAGGTCTCCAACAATATTAATTTACACTGACCACAGAGTTTAAGGCAACCTCTGTGTTGATGGATCAGGTTGCACTTATTGCTGCCATTACCTTTCCTCACTTCCAAAGGCTGACCCAGACCCCTTCCCAATCCCAGCCTCCTCTGCTCCCACAAGGTTTTTGGGAGGTGGGTGAGACCCTCACACCACCAGGCATGGTGAGGGGAGTCCCTGCCCTGGCCAGACCAGGGAAGGAGAGTCCAGGAGATCCCAAATTCTGCCACACTGCCCTTTTGTACAAATCATGATGATTTCAGCTCTGTCCTAAAACCACCAACACACAGCTGTACCGCTTAGGGCAGTAACACCCCCAAATTCATCCCGAGGATAAAACACACCTGAACAACCAGGGTTTAGGGAGGATGCAAACCGGACTCCAAAGCATGGGGTACACACCACACCCCGGGAACAGCAGCACTTACCCTCTGGAAGGACGAACACCACGGTCATCAGAGACAGGATCCCATGGGCACCTCCAGGCATGTGTCTGCAGAGCATGGGGGTCAGCTCCTGGAGTCCACCCAGGGCTCAGAGGACGAACACCGGGGTCTGGGGGAGCGGGCAGAGGTTTCCTCTCCTCCGAGCTCTTTTTCCCAGCCGTGCTCGTCGCCTCCTCTTCACCTGCAAACCTCTCCGCCGGGATAGAGGGAAATGCCGTCGGTGCAGCAGGGCTCTGGCTGCTCCAAGCTTCTCCAGCCAGCCCCGTGGCACCCAGTCTCCTTATGTCGATGCTTAATTTCTCCCTTTTCCTCTTGAGAAATTCTCTGATTCTTTCAGTTCATGCACAGACCTGAGTGCGTATGTGCTACCCTCAGTTATTTCTGTCCTATTTCCTCTGTCCACGATCACTTCCCATTAATACCACCGTGCAGCAGCTCTTGGAGAGAAATTCTCCCTAATCAAGATTTAGTTTTAAATCCACTTCGAAATCCTCTAATTCAGTTGGATTAGGCAGAAGGGGTTTGGGGAGATGTATGGTTTTACTTTTTTTTTTTTTTTTCCATCTCTTTTTCCTCTCTGAGCTGCCTCATCTTCATGAACGGACCCACCGGCTTTCTGTGACATATTGTGCTATTTAAAGAGGGCAGGAATAATTTTATTAAAGAGAAGCAGTCAACTAATTTTAAATCCGAGACTTGAGATCCTCTAACAAAGTACAGCCCTGGGGATGGCCGTGGGGTTAAAGGGAAAACCTGGAGGAGAGAGAAGGTTTGAATGTAGTGTGTGTATTTACAGACAAAAAAATAGTTGCCTTAATAAAGCAGGGAGAGACCAAACAGAGCCAGCCCCAGGCTTGGATTGGCTCTGGAGGGAGCTGGGGCTGCCAGGGGCTTGGGAAGGGGATGGGGGTGCAGTGGAGGAGAGGACTGAGCTGTGACAGCTCTATGGGGCCAGGGTTGGACCCACATCCACATGGGACACCACGGATGTCACCAGCTGCAGGATCAGGCCCCCAGACCCCTGTTGGCTCCTCCACCACTGTCCCCACAGGCAAAGCCTCAGCTCTCAGCGGAGCTAATGAGACTTGGAGAGCTAATGCTTACTAATAACAGAGCGCGACCGAACGCATGGGATTAAAAAATTAAAATGACAAAATAAGCTGCTTATGTAGCTCATCCAGCAACTGCCTGCTAGCAGCACCTGAAATCCCCCACCCTGGGCACCCCAGCCCACTGGGCACCTCCTCTGCCAGACACAGCTCCCAGACAGGCAGGCTTGGACCTAATCTCCGACAGCATCTTCATTAGCACGCATCCTTATCAATATTTCACCAAGAAATAGCACAAACGGGTCCAAGTAGGGGCATCTACAGCTCAGGAAGGGCAATTGGCACCTGGGAGATGCACCCAAGTAATGCAGCTCATGTATTCAAATCTCCTAAACCACCCACCGTGTCTCGCTTGCCTCAAAACAATGTGACTGTAACAAATGTCTGACACAGTAAAGCCTGAAAGCCTGGAGGAGAAGGGATAAAACGCAGGAAATGGGATTGATTTCAACGCATGCATAAATCAGAGCATTCAATAAGGAAGGGAAACTAATTTTTAATTCCTTAATAAACTCATCAGTATCTGGAAGGGGCGGCCAGGAACAGCCTGGGCTCTGCAGCAGCAATGTAGCATCCGTGGAAGTGTCCAAGGCCAGCTTGGACTGGGCTTGGAGCAATCTGGTCTAGTGGAAGGTGTCCCTGCCCATGGCAGGGGGCGGGAATGGGATGAGCTGTAAAGTCCCTTCCAACCCAAACCACTCTGTGACGCTGTGATGCGGCAGATGTTGCACAGCTGGCGGGGCCGGGGCCACGCACACCTCTGGGCACTGCACCTGGCTCCGCAGCCTCACCCGGCAAAGCGGCTCCTCTGACAGCGGCACAGGGCACCGGCTGGTCCTTCCTGCCGGGAACCGAGCGGGAAGGTCTGCGGGACTCGGTGGGGCCGAGGGATGTCACGGTGCAGTGAACCTGGGGTCGGTGGGACCGCCAGTGGGATGCGGGGGGGGGGGGGAATCCCAGTAGGAACATCAACTCCCAGCGCCGGTTTGAGGAGATGCGGCGCTGATTTAGCCAGATGTTTGTCTCGTTTTATTCCTCTGGGATGCAGAGGAGAAAGGCCTTGAGAAAAGGGAAAAAAAACCCAACCCAACCTCTTCGACCGCTTCCACGTCTGGAACCTGTAACTCGTCATTAGCTCTGATGGAATTCGGAGAGATTTAACCTCCCGGGGCGGCGGGAACACGCCGGGAACAGGCCTCCTTCCCTCGGCTCCGGGAGATTCTATCAGCAAATCTCGCGGGACACTCCTGCTCCCAATTTAAACCTGCGGGGCAGCTGAACCCTGCGCAGATTAGGCGGGTCCGCCGGCAAATCCCTCTGGGAGTTCATCCCGCGGGCGGGCGGCTGGGAGCGCTCGGCGGCACCGCCCCGCACTCCGCCCCCTCCGAGGCGGGACTCGAACCCGCGCACCCGGGGCCCGCCCTCCGGAAGCAGAAGTGCCGCCCCCCAAACGGGCCCGGTGACTGGGAGCACGCCCGCCCGCCAGGGGGCAGTCAAAGAGACTCGATCGGCTGCTGCGCTCTGATTGGCTGGGAGCGATGAATACATTAAGAAGGTAGGAGAACGCGCGCGTTTGTGAGATTTTTGCCTGGGTTTTCAGGGAATTTTTAGCCGTAGTGGAATCAGACTAAATATATAATATGGGTAATAGTTAGAAATGTCAAACTGACATGAAAGAAAACACGAATATCTCCTCACTCTGTTCTACATAGAAGTGGCTTGCTGAAGGTTTAAATAGCGACGGCAGCCACGTTGCTGTCGTGTTGTATGAAAGGAGAGAAGGTTAGCACTCCCCTTGATAAGGATGGAAGAGGTCCTAGTGGCCTATGCAACACACATACGGTTAAGGCACTGCCACCTACTTCGTGGCATCTAACCATGTTTTTCGGCTCGTTCTTTTTGGAGGGGCGGACCTTAAAAAACCCGGCAGCAGCTTTTGTCACCCAGCTTCTCCTTTTCCCTCGGACCAAACGCGCCCAGAAAACCAGAGAGCCAAAGAAAGAGCTGGCCCTCCCTTAGCACGCTGCAATGTGCTCCGTCCCCTCTCAGCCCGCACCAAACACCTCCCTTACTACAGCCCATCTACAAACCTTCTTTTCAGTGCTCTGCTTTAGGTGATCCCGGCCCTCAAACCACCACGGCCACGCCAGGCTGCATATAATTACAGCTAAGTAGAGCTCATGCCAATAGGCCCCAGCATTAATCCCAGGTGGGATATTAAGGATTTAAACATAACCTTTACAAAGAACAGCTTTCCAGCAGATCCTTTACATCAGGGCTCCACTAGCCCTGCTGTTCAAGAGATTTCCTCTTGATAGCAGGAAAATCATCTCCCTTCTCCATAGCTCTTTGGCTCAGAGGGCAGAGAAAGCCATAGCACAGCTGGGCAAAGCCACTCACACACAGAGACACGAGAAGTACTGTGCCAGAAAATATTTCTGAATCTACATTAAAATGCTCTGCTGGAGTAAAATACCCTCTTCTCCACCCTGTAAAGCAGCACAGCCCCACCTTGCATTGAAAAGTTTCATTGGCCTGCAAGAAGACTGAAAAAAAATCATGGATCAATTATTTTAGCAGTGACGCTCACCAAGTCTAGACACACAGTGTCCCTTCCTGGTGGTAATGAAAAGCTTCAAAAGCCAAGGATATTATTAATAGCCATTTTAGCACCAGCTCAACATGAACTCTATTTTTATATTTTAAAAAGAAAAGCTATACCTCATGTCTCACAGCTCTTTTTCTCTCAGGGCAAAGGCAGGCAGCCTCGGGGCAGCACTACAGAGGTCTGTACTGTAATTGATTTTGTGTTATTACCAAGCATGAGGTCAATACCAAAAGAATTGGTCTTTGCTTCACCAGGAACAAAACATCCTCTTCCAGCAGAACCCTTTGGGTGCAATAAACTTGTGCCTCCGTGCATTTCTTAACCAGCACAAGCTAAATCCTGGATCCCTGCTCAGCCTGCAAGGAGAGGGCAGCCAGACTCCTTTCCCCTTGGCTAAAGCCCTCTGTGAGGGGTTGTACTAATGTCTCTGCTGAGGACACCTTCACTTGAATCCTCTTAATAAACAAATTTTGACCTGTGTTCCTCTTTTTCTCCACAACTGATGTAAAACACCATGTTGCTGTTCCTCCTCCTCCCTCACTGGAGCTGCTACAGAAACACTTCCCTCAAAAGGTGCTTTTAAGGGGAGCTTTATGGACACAGACACTTCACATTAGCACACTTACCACAAACATACACATAAAATCCCACCTTTTTATTATGGCATATGGTATTTTTGTTTTGTTTTGAATGTGTAAATACCACATGGGTATGACAAAAAGGGAAAGAAATACCAACGCTGCGATAGATACAGAGTCATGCCATTAGCAATACAGCTTCATACGATGGATTTCCAAGATACAAAAGTCTGGGGGGGTTTGTTTCTTTTTACATTGAAATAACTTTACAGTGTTCTGTGAGCATTGCTTTAGAACCAGAAGAGGAAAAAAAAAAAAAATTAAAGTATGCTGAGAACAACTACAAGCAGGATTCATTTTAATGGTTAACAGAAGAACTGTAACTTTGCTCTAGAACAGCATCTATTAAACACACGTAACAAGAGGTAAGCAACTATACAGAAGGTAAGAGATTCCACCACAGGAGTCAAGTCAGGGGCAGGAAGAGGGAAATCTGGAACTGCATGGTTTTATTTGGTCACAAAGTTTGAGCTGAGTGTTTAAAATGAAGCACCCTTAAAGATGCAGTACTCCTATTTAAAACAATACAGAAACTTCCCAAGAGACTAGAACCTACATTCTGGAAAACAAAAAAAAAATAAAAAAAAATAAAATAAAAAAAAAATTAGACATTTTAAAAAAATTCCACACATCTCTAGGCTCGTGACTTAACTTACTGGTACAAAGTAGGCTGGCAGGTCTTCCTGAAGCAGCATCAGTGCCCAGAAGCAATGCCACCATAAAGTACAGTATCTTTGGGGTGTCCAAGACAAGGCTGACACTTCTGACCCGACGTCAGAATGATCCATTTGTCTGCCAAAACATTAGGCAACAAAAGGAGACACTGCATCTTTATTTTATTTTTTTTTTCCCCACCACGTTGCCCGGCTCTACCAGAGCTGAGACCTTCTCTTTGGGCCAAGACTAACAGAAACCACTTTGTCAGATATTCTTCAGGTTTCCTGCCAAACTGGATTTATGGGTGGCTTGTTTTTTTTGTTGGTTTTTTTTTTTTTTTAAGTAATTTTTTTTTTTAAAAACACTTTTTTTTTTTTCTTATTTCCTGACAGTCTCTAAAGCAATCCTGGAACGTTTAACAGTCACTCTTCCACAGTTTAATTGTTTTGTCGTTTTCTAGTGCCGCTGACGCGATGATGTTTTCTGTTGGGTGACAGGCTGTCGAGATGACAACATCTAAGCAAGAAAGAAAAAGATATAAAACCACAATTATTTGCAGCAACGGAGTCTGGTTCGTGGCAGGCACTTCTGAAAATTAACATGTGTTGCTACTGTGTTTTTAAAACAGCAAAGCCAAGTTATTATTAAAGCAGCAAAGCCAGGTTATTATTTCCTTGTAGCACAATCCAACGCATTATTTGTAAATATTTTACAACTGTTGCTCCTCTGTGAGAGAAAATACAAGTAAGAAAGAATTAAGAGCAGTAGTTGGAAAGTGTCTGACAGGTTTCAAAATGTAAGAACTCTTTAGATTCTAGTTCCTGCTTATATCTTATGTCTCACCCAGCTCATCAAAACCCAGGTCAGTCTTTTCTTGTCATGTAAAGTATTTCCAACGTGCCAGTCAATGCTCAGGCAGCACTTCAGAGCCTTGCACTGGCCTGAAAATGAAAACCTGCTGCCACTGCCCCCACTCACAGTCTAAATCAATGGAATACAGCCCAAATACAATGGAATACAGCCCAAAGCAAAGGACTGAGCACGCTGAGATGCCACAGCACAGCCTCTTTTAGTTGGTACAGTTAAAACTCTGCTCTTTCTTAAGACTCAGACTTAAGTCTCCATCAGGTGACATCTCACCTCTGCCTTCAAGACCAGGCAGAATCTGTCTGTCTGAAAAATACAGACATTTACAGTCCACATCAGCCCTTATCCTTGACAGCTGCAGCTCTGGAAGGTGTTAACAGGCAATTCAAAGCCACTAACACTATGAGTCACTTAAATATCTTGACCAGGTCTGTCCTCAAGGAAATCTCTTTTGCAAGCTGATGTCAAAGTTCTCACAGTGAAAGAATAAAACATTTTCAATGCCCATAAAACCCCTTCATAAAAAGGAGCAAACTCCCAGGGTTCAATTAAGCTTCAGCCAGTCAAAAATTTATGGGTCTGACAGTCAAAACTAAACATCAGAGAGAAAATGCTCAAGCTAAGCCCTCATTACAGGCTGACATGAGGGACATCCCATCAATAAACACAAAATCCCCTTCCACACCTGTGTGTCCTTGTAATTTCTGTACAATCTCTTTTGTCTGAAGGTTCCAAATATAAACCAGGTTGTCTTCTGACCCAGACACGATCCACTGGAGGGGCAGAGAGAAAACACAGTTATTTTAATCTTTCTGATCTGTAACAATAAACATTTCGTTGTCATCATATGAAAGGGAAAAAGAGGAAAAGTCAGGGAGCCTGCAATGGGAGAGAGGGCCCACCTAGAGACACAGATACCTGTGAACCAGCACCCCCCAAAGGAGGTTTCCAGCCCCAAACTTGTTTCATCTACAGAGAAGAGCAGTAAAAATGGCACACTGGTAAAAAATAAAGAAGCAAATAACCACCAACCTTTCCACCAGTAACAGAGAAATTGGCAAATATGCAGTACTTCTCATTTTTGTGTCCTGTGTATGTCTTCAGGCACTGGAAGTGAAGAGTCACAAGTCATTAATGCAGCTGGGAGGGAGTTTTCTCAGTCAAGGACAAACTCTTGGCAGAAAAGACTAAACATATCTGCCTTGTTTCCCACCCTGCCACTTATCTAGAGGATGCAGAGGGCATCTCTGCCCTAGAACACAAAAAAAATAAAGCTCTAAATTTGTCCCATTACCACAGTGAAAGAGATCAAAGGCAATGTATTGTTCATAAAGAGAAAAATGCAGAACTATTGCTGTACTTAATGTCCCAGGCCTATGTGGGGGCCAAATATTTTAATTTCTTTTCTCTTCAAAGGCATCTTTAGCCAGAGAATCATGGAACAGTTTGAGTTTGAAGGGACCTTTAAAGGT